ATTAGTAATTACGATTTTAGGGCAAGTTAGTCTGCACCATTAAGCAAATCCAGCCCGTATAACCTTGGGCCTAATGAATCATTTTCACGGAGCATTTAACTTCAGAGATTATACTGATGGCCGGATGTGATCGAAACCAAACCTTATAATGTGATTTTATAGTAATTAATTGTTTTATTTATCATTTTGGAGTCTTAATAAGTGAACTTATTTTATTAACATAATGATAAACGTATTAAAATGGCAAAAAGTAGATTATTCTAAGTTTTTTAAAATGTAGTGTATTTTTTTATTAATAATAATTATTTTTGTAACATAGAAAAGCCAAATCACACCCTTAATAATAATACTAATAAAATTATAACGTTTTTCATGTGAAATTTAATATTATAATATTTGGCACCAGGCAAAATTCTTTTTTGTCAATTTCCCGAATTCAAATTTTCCAATAAGCACTTCATTATTGAAGGTGTGAAATTTTATTAACCCTGACCATTGCACTCTTCACCTTAAACACTTTAAGAGCGGTTACGCACGGCGACTTGTAGCAGCGATGCAAACGCGATGCAGTAACGATGCAATCGCTAATCATCTACCTCTGCACACGCGCCCGATTTTAAGCAGCGATTCAAACGTAATGCAAGCGCTTCTGCATCGATACAAACGTGCGATTGCATCGCTACATTTAGGATTCATGGGCGATTGCATCGATGCGATCGCGCGTTTGTATCGATGCAGTCTCGCGTTTGCATCGATACAATCGCCTATAAATCCCAAGTGTAGCGATACAATCGCGCGCTTCACGAAAGCGCGTTTGCATCGCTGCTAAAAATCGTCTAAAGGTCTAAAGCGGATTTCCACGTTCCTCTTATCGTATCGATGGCATATACTACAATGCTTGCCATCGTGGTAAAAGAATTTACCAATCGGCGCAAGTTCTCCGATTGTTGCTCAGGGTGCACCAGACGTACAGGAATGGAATGGTCCGTCGTGACGTGAGGCTTCTTTCGTGCGCCCCATTCAGTGTTAACCAATCTATCAATGTCAAAAAGGGTTTAGGGAAGAGAGAAATCTTTTAAAGGCAATAAAGAACAGAAGAGGGAAAAATGTTCGGACATCTGTTACGTAGTGACGAGTTTATGAGATTCATGATTGAAGGCAGGAGGAAAAAGAAAGAGAGAAAGGCCAAGAGTGGCGTACAGTGAATTAATAAAGAAGAACGTTAAAGTGGACAGCTATAAAGACGTTATGAACCGTGTAAAATTGGAGGAGGCTATACCGACAAGAGCATTGGCTCTTAATAGGATGATGATTGTCCCTCAATTCTTTCTAACTCTATCGTTTGTTTGTTTTCCCTTACTCTGTAGTACCACCAGAAAATGGCTAATTAGCAATAAGGCACCTCTTGAATATTTAGCTTTGTTTTTACTTTTTAATCTGTTGGGCCATTGTACCTTTAATGTATAACGAAGAATAATTGAATTTTTCTTGTTAACGATATTAATTTATAAATTGGTTTGATTATTAATCTATACAATAGCAAAGACTAGGTACTGTTCGATACGTCGCTTCGAAAGGAAATTATTAATTAGATTCCAAACAACCGCGTGGTAATTGATTGAAAGAAATACAATTATTACTACTTATACGCCCTTAGGTTCTATAATCTATAAAATACTCCTTTATAGTTTTTATTTATCATAGACTTTTGTATGGGCCTAGCAGACACCGTTTTACAGGCCATTAGCGTTGTGCGCCAGTATATAATAGCTATTATCCCTACGAAATCACTAAATTATTTTAATTATTGTCTGGCGCCGACCGTTTGTGGGAACCATGACTATAATAAAGTGTAATAATATATAATATTAATAACGTATTCAGCAAATAGGATTACGAATTTAACAATAGAACAAACAATGATACACCATTCGTACTTCTACATCAAGTATATACATTTTCCTTTCAAAAATTACTAACGTATGTATTATTTAAGTAAATAGGTTTATACACCTCTAATTATTTAAGCTAATACTTTACAATACATAATCTGCATCTGTATCTCGCCCACAGTGAAGGTAGGAATGTTGTTAACACAAGAATGAAATAAATCAATGTAATACTATATATAGGAGGTACCTTATTGAACAAATAAACGAGTCTATTTCTAATTACCAACTGACATATCACGAGGCCTATCTACAATAGCCGTAGGGCGCTGCCCTGCCGCCACCGCCACCTCCCCTCCGGCATGCTGCGTCATGTACACAGTACTGATACACGCACTGCGCCATGAACGCCATCTTACTACTTACTGCGGCCATTATAAACAAACCTTTATAAATGAGAATAAAAAACCCATATCGAATTGATAAGTCGTTCAACATTCCTACCCTGATTATAATCTCGTATGAACTCCATCGGAAGCCGAAAATAAATTACTCTATATAGAGAGAGGTGTTAGTAGACCCCGTCCCGTGATGGGCGAGGAAGGCAATAAAACTATTTGGAATTTTAATAACGTTTATAGTTGCTTCACGTTCGTTTGATAGAGCCCTTAAATAGGTAAGAAATATTAATATTTCTGAACAACTTTCACAGTTCTTTAGGATGAGTATTAAAATTTTCTCTGCGTCTATTATGGTGTACGCAATTTCCAATCAGTTCCTAAGATAAGCAAAAAAACGGGATGCAATACCAGTATGTCCATAGTGGCCATCCGTAAGCGAACGTGTGGAATTGTGGAATCTTGCTGTGTCTCCCCGCAAGAAGTAGCTGGACAACAATCTTAGCTTGACCACCGGATGCCGATGCGCCGGAGGGAAAAACTCATAATTGATTCTGCGTAGCGTCGCAGAGATTCAACAGGCAGTCCGGTTCAACGTAAGACCTGCTATTAGATAAAATAGCACCCGGCCTACCTAGCTCTCGCACAAAAACATTAAAGTGCCTGCAGATAATTTCTTTAATTGAGAACGCCTTTAACAACCACCGATATGATCTTACACACTTGCCGCGCGCATAGAATCTATTCATAAGAAGATTTTATACCAAGAGTTTCAAGTATATTTTTTAAACAATACTATTGTTTTATAAAATGATAATTTAGGGAATTCCAACGCGGATAGGATATCCTGAATCTCACTATAAATTAATTACAAGGAACAACAGAGAAGCGGTTCGAATTTTAATTAATGCGATAGAAATCGAGTTGGGAGCGTCGCGTTATCTGTGTCTCTGTGGGCTAAATTATTCAATCCACGTCAAGCTCACCAGTGCAGTACATCTACCCAGCTCGTTGGCCCGCTTACAGGCTCCAATGAATGCCAAATCACTCCTAGTTCAGTAACCATTGTCTATTAGGGGATACTTGTTATGCACGTGCTGTAGGCGCAGCCGTTAAGCAATATGAGCTTGACTGGTGACGATGTCGCCGGTTTAGCAGCCACAAAGGACAACGAGGCATGCAAATAGAGTCTCTATTATCCAGCGTTGGATGCGCCGATTTACATAGGAATGGAGCACCGAGGCAGTTAGGCGCTTCCGTGGTAGGTCGCGACGGCAAGAGCTCCGCCCATGGTGTGCAGAGACGGGTCCGCACCCGCGCCCGCGCTCCACCACCTAGATGATTACAGTCGAGAATCTGGAACGCTCATTCATAACTCCGACGAAAACGTTCACGAACTAAATCTGCATAAACGTCTCATAATGGTTGTGAAAATCTAATTTTATTCCTTGTGCAAATAAAAACCAACCGTTAGTGTAAATTTTGAGATTTTAACGCAGCTCTTTGTTTAGCTGATGTTGATGTTACAACAACCCATATAGCTGATTATATTGTCGGCACGATATTAGGATTGTGAAAAATGCCTTTCATGTCTTAGTTGATGTGCAATCAAGGTACCTATTAAGCACGATTGCTCAATGATAGCGCTAAAACACTATTTAACAAACAGTCAGTTTCATCATGCTGTTATCTGTAAAAATATGGGCAAGTAATTAATTTGGCTGGCAAGACTACGACTGGCGGTCAGTCGTCAGTCGACAGCCGCTGAAGTTGCGCAACGAGAGACGTATTGCACCCAGACTCAGACCACGCCGATTTTGCGCTAACCTTGGACCGGGCAAACAGTGAACATTGGACTAAAGTGTAATTTGTAAGCGATCACGATACAAGGGCATTTTGGTTTACAACATTATGTTTGACTTTGATTAAACTCTGCTAATTTCTGTTCTTTATGTATTCAACATCTTCTAATCGTTGAACCATTAGAATAAATTAATAAATGAGGTACAGAATTTAATGTAGAGGCTATAATTTATTGATTGCGGTCAATATTTAACATTAACTTAAACATAATTGTAATCGTTTTCGCCTTTCTCTTTGGTAGTACAGAACGCACCCGCTTTCATCTTATCTGACGAATCTGTCCAAAACGTAACTGTCCTTGTTTGAAAATGGACAATAAAACTTGGCGCAGTCGCGGTTGTTTATTATTTATATACCTCACATCATACAAGATTAGATTGGCAATGACCTCTTTGGACATGATCTGCACGATTCACATGAGATACCCCTTCAAATTTAATTTATGTAGGTATATGTATATAAAACAGCTAGCATTCTTATCGCATTCTTATATGAAGTACTTTGATAGTAATCAATGCAGTAGGAAGATAAACATTATCGATATCGATTCTTATATAAACTAAATAGATAAAACATGTTTTATAACAACGTTTCACTTCATCAAAGGTATGATACACTGCCACACAGTTAATGTTTGGTCTACACTAATTTGCTCTACTAATATTGTCATAAATCAGTTTATCATATTCCAGTTTCACCGATAATCTTAGTGTAAATCTAGGCGAAGGCTTAAAACTTGTTCAAAAGACATTTTATGGTGCGAAGTGCTCTCGTAGGGTGAATGGCTGCTCAACAAATACAGTGCTACTCTGTGGTAAAGCTAGACAGGAAATCACAGTTGACAGATAATGGCCACGATTAGGTGGGCCTGTTGAGAGATGCTATAACTTTATACCTGTTTGCTTTAGTTGATTAGGCACATCGTTAAAATACAATTTATTGGAGTCCCTTCAAGAGGCTTTATGATGGTATGATATGGCCATCCAAAATGATCTTAGTGACGTAAAATGAATATATATATACACGTATCGTTAACCGGTTCATGGACTGTATTTAAATAGTACCGCACACCAAAATGTTACTACTTTTCTTTGTGCCGTGGTGCTTATTTTGATTCAATGTAATAATTACGTTTTATCATTGATCCCATTAACATTCTTGTATAAATGAATGACAGTAGTAGGGTGATTGATTCATGTTGTCATATTGAATTATAAATAACGTCAGTAAAGAGTACTAAAAAAACGATCTCAAAACTTCGTGGAATTACATTTATTTGCTAAGTTTTATTGCACTCGATTACCGGAAACTGCGCGAAACCGAATTCATCCCCTAGTTTGCCACCCTGGAATTGGATTATTTTCTTCAAATTTAAATGGGACCACTACTAAGGTGCTTTGTTTCCAACAAAAATCAAAAAGAATCATCAAAATCTGTTCACAAATGCCGTAACGTATCGCGTAACATACGTACAAAAAAATACAGTCGAATAGCGAACCTCCTCCTTTTTTGAAGTCGGTTAGAACATATGAGTGCCAGAGGAAAAGTTTGGTTAAATAAAACTTACTTTTGCTGTTAGAAAGTTCAATGGCTGACACGTATTTGTATCACCTCATATAAATAAGTCCTACATAGCGAAATGAGGTACACCATATTTATCATATTTTGATATTTAATTTTACGGTAAACGACGTTACCATCCATGAACGGGTTAGTAATACTACTGACTATATTATAATATGTACAATGGAGACCACGAACCGGAAGGCGTTCAGTGGGACGGCCCCCTACTGGATGGACTGATGACCTGGTAAGGGCGGGGGGTAAACGATAGATGCACGTCGCGTCCGACCGGCTAGTCTGGCAATCTTTGGGGAGGCCTATATTCAGCAATGGACGTCTTCCGGTTAATATGATGATGATGATGATGTACATCTAACATAATAATGTAAAACCCTGAAGGGCGTAGCAATGTTTGGACAAAGACATGCCGAAGTTTAAAATTTACAAATTTTAATCATTAAAGATAATTAGAAATAATCTTCCAACGAGTAAAAACATTTATATAGCAAAAATTGCTTTAAGAGTTCATTAGCTATTCTTTCAAATTCTTTCTTTCTAAAAATAGTCGCTTTTTTAACCATAAATTGTTATTGTCTTTGTGTTTAGGTTTCAACTGTGCAGATTTAATTTTGATCTGATCAGTAAAGCTAAATTATTCTGTAATCTCGTCTCAAAGCGTCTGTAGGGTGTTCCATACACTTATAAATGATAGTATGATAACTGTTTATTAGTTCTGATTTACAACTAATGATACATTTGATAGGTGTGAAAGGAGTACACTGACTTTGCCTAATTGTGAACTAAAAATAAATTATTACTAAATGTCGCATGTATACGTAAAATGTACACAATGTATGTAATTAACACAATGTACGGTATTGCACCGTACAGCATCGTTTAATCAATTTATTATTTTATAAAACTAAATACATTTGGTACTTGGTACTTGGTGCAACGGGCTGGTATCCGCAACTCGACGACAAAGAGCCTATTTTGCGTGTGGAAAAATACATATAAAACTAAATACATATTACGTAGGATAAATACGAGTATATCACAAGTGTTAGTACTGTTCCTTCAAACTAGAATACGGTACTTAAGGCCCTAGTAACCATAGGCGCAGTAAGCGGCAAGTACAGCTTTCACATTTTTTTTAGAGTGTATACCAATTTATAAAAAACCAAAATGTCATGATTTTTATCTTTTTGCCGTGCGCTTTTCAATTGACATCAGAAACACTATGGAATCCTATTATTGCAGGTAAATGTATCTACCTACGAATGCTGTTTTTAGCGTTGTACGAAAAATGAATACTTGAAAATTATCGTTGATAAATGGTAAATATTTTGTTTTTGGAAAATTAATTTCTAAGTTATGGCCGTTAATCCAATAAGTTTCAAGCAATATTTCTTTGCTTAACTTGTCACGATCCTAGAGACACAAAGTATCCCTAATGATTTTGTTACTTCAGCGTCATTGGGCCACAATGTATCTCTACGCACAGATGTGTTTTTATCTAATATTTAAAAAAAATGATAATTGATAAAAAAATTACATTGTTTTGACCAAAATCGTTACGAACAGGACGTGATGAGTTAATAAATAGAATATTTAAAGTCTTAGTATAGTTTTAAGCTATTTTGCAAGATGTCAATAGTGATACATGATCCGCAAGAACAAACACAAATCTTAACTTAAAATTTAAGCAGTGGAAAGTCATTTATGTTAATTAAGAACGGCAAACAAGCAGTTCCTTGAGGAATTGAGTTTACCATTTGTTGAAGGTCAGATTTGGGGCGAGTTAATTCGCCCATTAGGTTAAAATTCTTAATTGCAATAAATTATTCTCGGTTTTTTTAAATATGATGCGAATCAATTGTGTCTTAAAATTCTTACGTACAATTTTTGGCACCTCGCGCAAAACACTCATCGTGTATCTTATAAGACGCCAAATTGTATCGATACTGTTGTTTGTCAATTGTTACAGAATCTGTTTTGAGATGTCATATTTTTCACAAAAAGAACTAGGTAGTATAGGCTCATACTCATGTTTGCTTCGTAGATTTTCACTGAAATTGGTAGTAATAACAGGACGGTTAACATATTACGGACAGTCCTATTTCCCTTTTTTTACCTTTCTTCAAAAAGGAGGAGGTTCTCAATTCGAGTGATTTTTTTTGTGTGTATGTCACGCGATTACTCCAGCATTTGTAAACCGATTTTAACGATTCTTTTTTGTTCGAAAGAGGGTACCTCAGTATTGGTCTCATTTAAATTTGAAGAAAATATTTCATATCTAAGAGTGGCAAACTAGGGGATGAATTCGATTTCGCGCACTTTCCGTTAACCGAGTTCAATGAAAGTTGGCAAATAGTTGTAATTCCAATAAAAAAGCCGCTAAGCAAACTTTTGAGATCGGTTATTTTTTAATAATTGTAAATCGGTTTTATTACAGAATTTATAAGAAATACATGTTTTGTTTAAAACGTGTATTTCTACACTTTAAACGTGTATTTCTATGTAAAGAGATATTCTGATTTTTGTGTTAAACATTGATTAAAGAGAATATAATATTGTCGAATCAATCGATTCTATGGAGTAATTGTTAATACAGCACGCAGAACGAATTCAAAGCATGATTTAAAAAGTGGAAAGTCCTGTTTTATCGATTTGATTGAAGTGGTTTTCGTTTGTCTTTTGTTTCACTTTGTAATCCTTGGCATTAAAGTGTACCGAACTTTAATAACTGACAGTAGCTTCACTCGATTGCTTCCAAATTCACACGCTTTCGTGACGATAATGCATGCAAAAATTATCCGATCGCTGACCGTCTCACGACATAGCACAGAATAAATTCTGTTCCTACAAATTGCCATGTACTCAACAAAAACAACATATATCAACAAAAGGATAATAAAGCAAAAAAAGGATACTTAATAAATTAGTGTAACGATTTGCGTGTGACGCTACCGTCAACTCTTAATATAACACAAACAGAAATACCGCCAATATTGGTGTTGAAAAACACCAATTAAACGTCTTCGTTTAAAAAGGCTTGGGAACTTCATAGATGCGTAGAGCGATGACCAGCCAAATTTCACGCACGAAGTGGGACTATTTATTTTGGAACGGGTTTCGATAACGCGGTCACGGGCAAAATGACGATGCCTATAGCCGTGACAAAACCTTCCTTAATTCATCACTGGCACACCAAACTTCCACAAAACAATACATCTACTAAGTGACATTAATAGTTTTTCCATTGTGCTGTTTATGTTACCTCCGTTATACCCCCAGCGTTTCAATATGATGTCTGACCAAGAGTCCCTTTTGCAACAAAAAATAAACCTTTACGTGATTCTCTCTCATAACAAAAGTCTATTACAACGTAATGTAAATAGCGTGCTGCACTAAAAAGATTAAAAAAAACGTCGAAACAAAACAATATCGCTCTCTTCATCGACGCGATTCCAAAATGAACAAGCAGAGAGGAGAAAAAATAAACTTGTTATCTTCAATTAGTTTCTGCAGAGCGGTTAGAGGCAGAATCATAGGGTAGAGCAATATAGTCGGGAGCGAGTGCGATGAGAATCCAGTTAAAAAAATACGCTCTGATTAGTAGCGGCGGACAAGAAAGAAAAAGGCTGGGTGGAACTACTCTGACAGCATCAGAGCACCTCTGATATAACCTACATTATTTTTGTACACAGGTGTGGGCGTAGGGGCCGGTGAGACCTCCCGTCATCCCAGCAAGGCACGCGTCCGTTCACCTTAATGAAGGTCGAACCCGAGCCGGAAAGTAACTGAATATTTCACAGTACACCGACCATTCGTCAAATGTGCGTAAAATATTTCTGTACCTTTACGAAGCTTAGTTTAAAATGTTGCAGACTAACCTAGCATTTAGATGTCTAGTGAGCAGCTACATAAGTACTACTTACGTATGTGCTTGTGTACGGGTTTACACATATTTACGGGGTCGTATTCATCAATTCTCGATTTATGTTACGATGTTGAAATTGTAAATTGTTACAGACATGATGACAAACGTGTTAACTTTTATATAAGAAGAGAATTTAAGCATTTTGAATAAAAGCCATTGTCCACTTGAAGGCCATTTTCGTGGTCCCGATACAATACGGACAATACACGTTTATACGCAAAACAACAATATAACGGAACAAAACGAAGGCTAGACAATAATTGTATTGTAAAACAATACAACGATGAATAAAGTGTAGGCGAAATTATCTTCACTTTATATTTAACATTGATTACCAATTAACTTGATTGAAGGTTTAGGAATTACGATACAATAGCAATTTGCTTATTTATTAGCGCTTGTGTCTAGTCAAAGAGTTTTTCATTAATTGTTTAAAGAAAACAATTTGGTTGATGATTTCTCGTCGCCATTTTGAAAGTAAGCGCCCGCCTTGAGTGGAATCAGAGTCAGTGGTGGCCTGAGTACCGTCAGTGACCACGTCTTATTCCATTGTGAGAAAAAGACTCATATTTCACCGTGATTCATTTCTGATTCTTTCTATTAAATTCATAGATTTAAGTTTAAGGTCGGTATACCGTATACTCGGTTATTTAAAATAAAATAATCATTTTACACGTCTGTTATTTTATTAATTGATTCTACAATTATTTTTTTTCATGTCATGATGTCTGACAGAATATAATGCAAGTACTAAGACTAAGAAGAAACTGGTAAGAAACTTTTTTTATATAATCGTAATTGTCTTTTGTATTGTTGATTTGGATTGTGTAGAAAGTGTACTTGTGATACATACCACTTTATGAACAGATGGAACGCCTGTTGTGTTCAGTGAAAGTTATCATAATGAGTATCATTCATATGCATATCAATGGCGAAATGATGTGTACAGACGAGGATAATGTTGTTATTGCAAAGACAGACAGACTTAAGTATCGGCGTGTGGTGCAGACTTACGAACGTCAATATTTTGAAAGCTTTCTTTTCACGCCGCCCGCGGGCAGAATTCATTTTAAGTTCTATGCTACATGTAAAATATGGCATCTTTACACGTGCGTACACTGAAATTATACTACAGGATAAATAAATATAGACAACATGAAATACATTGCTCTGATTCCAAAGTAAGTAGCTAAAGCACTTGTGTTATGGAAAACGGAAACAACGATGGTACCACAAACAGCCATACCCCAGATAATATAGAAAAGGTAGTTTCTACATTGTCCCGGCCGGGGATCGAACCCGGGACCTCAGAGATAGCGACACCATTAAAACCGGTGTGCAAGCCATTCGTCCACGGAGGCCGTCAATTCATATTACCTACTACAATATTTTTCTTTGCTTTAACCTGTGTTGGTGTTATGGACAAATATGTCTAAACTAATGAGAATTTTTGGTATTCTAAATTCGTAGGCGTTAATTATTCACACTGTAGCGAAATCTTTATTACAGGAGACGGTTTTGATAATGTAACCCAAAATTATACAGCTTTGATGTCAGTGCCTGCCCGCTGCACGCCGCGCTCACGCCACCCTCGAACGTGCTCTCGTTGATTTTATTTTATCTGACGAGTTTTAGCTCACAATGTTGGTTTACGTAAAGATGCTTGTAAATATCTAGTGCCCACGTAGGCAAGGTTTTTAGAACTGTCTTTTTTTACTCATAGAAGTCTCGAGATTGGATAATCCAATATTATCTGCTTATACTATAGGAATATATATATACTATTAGGCTACATAGGCTATACAAAGGCTAAACGATCATATTACTGTATTATTATGGAAGACATGTTGCAGTCGTAAAATGGTGCCAGTTTTTATAGTTTATATTGAAGAGTTCTATACGTTTTGATAAAACTATATTTTTAATATTAAACCTATTTATCAATCGCCCTTTTGTCAGAGTAAAGTTCAGTTTTTCTTGTTACATGCTTGGTCAGGCGGAATTTATGACAAGCAATGATATATGCGTTGAAAATATATTAATCCTAATAGCACTCATTGTGCCTCTATAGCGTTTCTATAAAATAGTTTCCAAGGAATTTCTTATAATATGAATGCAATATAATGCAGTCTAATGCACTTTGCGGGACTCAGTGTTGAAGGACCTTTTATCGCGGCTGCTATTAAAGTAGTAATTTGTACCACTTTTGTTGATAGAATTGGTTATACAACCTCTACAACACTGCTATAAATCCGTTTCTATTATGTGTGATATATGATATAACATAAAACTTTTGGAAGTTTACTTAGTTATATATTAATACATATTGTAGGTGTACATTTAAAACAATCCCAACACTAAATTATTATTTAAATAAATGTGCGCATGTTTCTATTCTACGCTATACTTATCGTACAATTACGTAATATGTTTCAAATAATTCATCCAGTTTCCATAAAATTTTCTACTATTGCTTGGTACAGCAAACGTAGTCAAAGTAGGCACTTTATACGAGGCTATTGCATAGAGACAGTTGTGCCACAGCGGATATTATTTATGTTAGCCCCTGGGCAGCTAGGTCTTAGTGGTGTATGACTACGTTGCATGAACGAGTCATGTTGTAATATTTAAAATTAGGGAATTATCGTTCGTAACGAACTATGTATTACAGCAGCAATAAAACCCACTATAAGTTTCTGGTTTTCAATGATTTTCTTAGCAGAAATAATTGTGTACAGGGTCAAGAGCACGTCAAGCTTTACACTTATGACTTATCCAACTCTATGCCGCTTACGATAAGAACGGTCCAAAGTACAAACTGTCAAGCTTGATGTGCTCTTGACTGTACCATGGACCTTAGTATAAAAAAAATCAATAGTTCCTAGTCGAACACGTATTGATTAATCTTGCAAACATTTTTATTATAAAATAGAAAACTGAAAGACATTCTTACTCGCTAAGGATGTTCATACACTTTAGTTTTTATTCCCGTGTACACACTCCAAATGGCATACATTTTTTTATTGAAAATTGTACCTTAATTCATCTACTTATATTCAATTCGTACGGCGGGATATCACCCCTGTTTTGTCAATATTATATTCAGGCGTATTAAGCGCTTTTCGTCATCTTTTATTATGCACACAGTCCAAGAATGAAATTCGCTGCCTTCGACTATGTTTCCGAGCACATGCAATCTCAGTATCTTTTTAGGTGCGACTGAATAGGCATCTTCTAGGCGAGCTCGTTCCATTGTAGACTCTATTTCCAGGACTCTATATCTCTTTGTTCCAGGGCTAGGTAGTGGTAAAGAGCAAGACAATTTACTTTAAAAAAATTACAATTTACAAAATTGGTAGTTTTGATCTGTGTTTATATGGCTAAAGCTGTAACTGAAGCTGAGATTTATAAAACGAAAATTCGACTAAACAAAAATGGTGAACTAAGTAAGTTTTTCGTATTTACAAAACGAACATTGCTTAAGCATGGACCAAACTAATGAGGACTGCTAATTTCCATACCACAGATCGTAACTCTGAAAAAGCTCAAATCTATCTAGATGGCGATGATTGATAGATATCCTGGAAGTAGTTTATATCACATAAATGGCTATCAGTAAACTCCTCTTTAATATGAAATATTAAAAATAATAAATGGTTAGTTTTTTCCTGTACAAAGGGCGCACTATAACTTTCCGGAACTGGCCACTTACATAAACAATATTTAAAAATTAATTACAACATTTGAAAATGGAACTATTTGGCTGTAGAATACAGTTTGTTTCATCTGACTGTTACTTGTTTTTTTACATTGTGGCGTCATTTTAGAAATTGGTTGTCTACATCACCATGGATTTAAGTTGTGAAAATTTTCGTAGTATGATTTTCTACGACTTTAAGGGTCGTATTCTGAAAAGAGTTCTAAAAAGTAATTTGAAGCCGAGCGAACCTCTGCTCAGCTGTTAAATTACACTAAGGGTCGTATTCTAGAACTCGACTCAATGCTCAAGTCAGAATTCCACTGGAAACACAAGCACTGGAAATATGACCCTAATGGCAGGGACTTGAGTATGATTTCGAGTGCTTTAATCCTGACTTGAGCATTGAGTCGAGTTCTAGGATACGACTTTTAGTGTAATTTAACAGCTGAGCACAGTTTCGCTCAGCTTCAAACTACTTTTGGCGATAAAGCACCATGCAAGACGACTATTTATTTATAGCTGGTTTACAGATTCAAAACACGCTAGTGTGAATCTCAGTGACGAATTTCGTGATGGCCTCCCGCCCACTGCTGTAGACAACAAAAACATCGATGCTGTGCGCCGTATGATCAAAACAGACAGGCATGTGACATACCATGAGATTCGGGCATCTTTAGGCATAGGCATGAGCCAAATACAATCAATACTATACAAACATTTGGGTGTAAAAAAGCTGTGCTCTCGGTGGATCCCACACAATTTGACTGAGGTTCAAGAAACGGATCGCGTCACTTGGTGCAATGGCATGCTAACCGATTCAACGAAAGGGCGTCAAATTTGGTGTGGGACATAGTAATAGGTGACGAAACATGGAATTATAGTTACGACCCCAAAACAAAGCAGCAATCCAGCGTATGGGTTTTTCGAGATGAACCGAAACTAACCAAAGTAGCGCGCGTGCAAAGTGCCTCTAAGCGGATGATTGCTTCTTTTTTTAATAGGACTGGACACGTGGATACTATTGCTTTGGAGATTCGCTGTACTGTGAATAGTGATTGGTATACGGCCATTTGTTTGCCGGAAGTTATTGAAAAACTCCGTAAAAATAATTGTAAACGCCGTATCATCTTGCACCACGATAATGCCAGTTCTCACACGGCCAGACAGATAAATGAATTTTTGAAGCTGAACAACGTGGACCTTATGAGCCATTCCGCGTACAGTCCCGACCTGGCACCTTGTGACTTTTATTTATTTCCAAAAATTAAGAACCGTTATGCGGTCAACGATTTTCATCACCTGAAGAGGCTTTCGAGGAGTATGAAAAATATGTTTGAGAGATTATCACGGAGTGGAGTGGCATAAATGTTTTCAAAATTGGTTCATTCGTACGAAAAAATGCATTAACGCTAATGGAGAATATTTTGAGACATAATAAATTTATTTCTGACCATTTATAGTGTTTTTTTCTTTTTCGTTCCGGAAACGTATAGTGCGTCTCACGTAATAATCAAATATTGATCATGAGCTAAAATTATTTTCCGAACTATGACAAATATGCGTAATAATAGATGATATTGTGAACTACAAATTAATTTAAAACTTAACGCTCGTTAATATGGGTAGATGGTGCTAATCCTAAACAAAATAAAAGAATAGCAGTATCCTTAAAAATCAGAGCAATTAACGTTACCTACTAATGTGAGTATTACTGCGTTCCGGCTATGAGGGGTAAGGTAAGATGAAATTATAGGCACATAGGGCTTGTCACCTTATGACTCAGGGTGGTAGGCGCAGTGGCAGTGCCCCTGAGATCTTTGTGATTTAAAGCACAGTTGCAGTACCACTGTCATGTGTGTCACTTACCACCAGGAGATCGTCCCTTCGCTTGGTCTCGTAAAAAAAAGTTGATTTGTTTATATTATAAGTAGAAGTTGGACTATCATTAATGAATTGCAGCTCGTAAATGTAAAACAAATTGGTTACAAAAATAGATATTTGGTACTCGCGACATCTGGTGTACAAACAGGTACTAAATACTCGGTTACGCTTTCTTGTATAGCGATTAGCAGTCCTCTTGGGTTATTAGTTCATGGTTTAAGCAAGAAATTACGAAATAAACTCGACGTCTGATTCAATTTCTTGAACTTAGACTGATTACATTTTGCAAATACAAAAAACCAGTTTGGGATCTAGTATTTCCTCTGATGAAAAATCCCAAATAGGCATAAGACTGCAATACTAATTAACATATTTCTATTTTTCCTAATTTTGTATTATTAATTAATAATACATTTAACGTATTTGAATTTTTTCATTCAATAAAATAATTTGTAAAACGTTAATGTAGCGTAAATTGGAATGTTTCTTTGTAAAATTAAAAATAAGGTATTTAATTAATAACTTTTGTAATTATAATGACCAAAAGGGTGGTTTGCATTAATATTAAACATAACATATGTATATTAGACAAAAAAAATGGTTTATGGCTGTACCACCTCAGTCAACCCTGACCATGAAACCTGTAAAGGCCCCGAAATGTTGGTTTGTTTGCAAAAACAAATACACGCGATTTAAATCCGGAAAAATAGTTTCAGTTCCTATACAAAAAAAGTCGAAATTTTTTTGTGATTCTCAGCCTGAATGTACCTAATAAGAATACTGATTCCTAGTATACATTAAATACGACAGACGTAAATATAGGAAGCGTTACTGTTCCACATTTACATGGTGAACGTCTATGAAGTGGAATTCCTTGCCTGCAGACATATTCCCTGATCACTATAGCTTTTTTTTAACAGGTAATGGCCTGTCCCTAACAGTTGCAGTGCCACTCAGAGCTTTGAATCACAAAGATCTAACGAACACTGCCTCTGCTTCCGGTACCCTCAGATATAAGTTGATAAGTCCAATATGCCTGTAATTTTACCAACACCCGTACCATTCGAAACCGGAACGCAGAAATGTTCACAATATTGCTTGGCGACAGAAATAGGTAAGGTGGCAGTACTTCCCTGGACTAACTCTTTCACAAGGAGCTCTACTGCTACTAACTTACTTAGACCTTTTCAAGGCAAGAGTGTATAGGTATTATTTGGGTATGTATGTTCCATCGTTAACCTCATCGTCCCTTTTCATCAGGTGAGATGGAGGCCAAAAGCGTACGTATTATATCTTAAAAAAATATTTTGCAGCTCTGCAACCCGTAACGGGCATCCTTCACGATCTAGTTATACATGAAATAAACAGTTAATAACAAAACAATAAATCGACGCCGGTTGCAGCCACCGGCGCATTGTTAGCACAATCACGATCGCATTTAACCTTTATTGTCCACACCGACCGGCTCTCTACAAATGACACTAAAGTAACGTTGTATGGAATTTTTTGTCCAGTACCTATCTACTATTGTTGACGTACCTATTAGACCATTTGCGTTCAAAATACCGTATTTAATTGTGCTGTAGGTATGTGATTTGTTTAAATTAAATATAGTATTGCTTAAAGAAGGGATTAGTTATATAGTAGGTACATTATTGCAGAGGCCGGGAAGTAAGGGATTACTGGACGAATATGCGTTACAAGGAAGAGCGCCAGCGAGGTCTTGTAAATAATGCGAGTCGTGAAAAAGAAACGACCTCAAGAGTTTGCTTATTTCCGTTTGCTGTGTCATTACAGCGGGTTCCTCAACAATATATGAAACGCATAATGGAAGTCTAATCTATTAACAGCTAGTAACAAGCGGCTAACTGCCTCCGTTGCCGAACGGTTACCATGCCGGACTGCCACGCAGAGGTCTCAGACTCGATTCCCGGGCCGGGAGAAATATTTGTGTGGCCTATATTGGGTATAATTTGTGGTTGTTTATGTGTGTGGCCACGGCACCCGCGACATAAGGTTTCCCAAGTGCGGGGCTAGAAATGTGTGCGTTATGTGCCATACTTTATTTTACATGCTTTTTTTTGTAAAACCGTTATTTACTACTAAATATATAAACCACTTTATCTAGTAAAACAGTTTTGCTGCTTCTCTTCCGATGACTCGCCTAAGACAATTTTACAGCATTTTAAGTTGAATAACTTCAATTCTAATTTCCAGTCCTTACATTTCGTTTGCAGTTACTAGATCCCACTATTATATAATTTTTTTTTACGTAAATAACACCAAATATTTGAGCGTGCGTGCGTGTGTACGTGTGTGCGTGCGTGTGTAGGTACATGTGTTTATAGGTAAAAATGTGACAAATATGTAATAAAGTAATTGATTCTCTCATATGTATCATTTTTCTAACTTTTCTCATTCGTCGAATTTATTTTTATTGATTAGTGAGGCGTGTCTATCATAGGTGAGTTGTTAAGCTTGTAGAAATCAGAAAGCACATTAACAGAGTTTGACCATTAGGCTAAAAGTTATTCTGAATTTTAGACGAGATTGCTAATGTTTTGGTTGATGAGATAATTTTCGGTTCACTAATAAATTTCAGAAAGCTAGAAGCCTTTTAATATTATTTCATCCCAATGTCAAAAGCGTCAGGAAGGGTGAAGGACCTAAATTAAAAAAGGGTCTTATTAGATGAAAGTCGAAAATCAAATGCATTTAATTAATATTAATGGAAAAGACATAATAAATTGATGTTGAAATTCCAAAATCACGAGTTAGAAAGACGACCTCCGCACACCGGTTTTCATTGTGCCGCCATTTCTGAGGTCCTAATTTCGATCCCCGGCCGGGTCATTGTAGAAATAACTAACCTTTCTATATATATTGTCTCAGGTTCGGGTGTTCGTGATACCGTCGTTGTTTCCGGTTTCCATAAGACAAGTTCTTTATTTACTTACTTTGGGATCAAAGCAGCGTATATGATGTTGTCTAATATTTATTTTATTTATTTATTAGAAAGAAACTTCAACACTTCTTAGCCATTTCTGTTGTTTCTGGGGTCCACTGATAGGGGGACCACTGAGTTTAACCGTTAATTTATCTGTGTTAGCTTAAATAGCTTAGAATCATAAATGAATTTTAGATTCATTTTCAACATTTTCATGCGAGTCGATTGAAAGTAACTTTATTTTTAAGATTTAAGGTGTGATAAATCCTCTCGTTAAAAAGTTGTTATTGAAAATCCCGTCGAAAAATAGATCGACTTAACCTAAGAAGTTCAATTTTTAACTAGAGCTTTTACAAAAATAGCAAGTACCTACAGTAATAATTTGAATCATTCAGAATTACGAAAACTAAAGAAGTCATACGGGACACGAATAATAATGAAATAAAAATTAATTTTTGTTTAATTTATTTTTATTATTAAGTAATAAAGACAGCCAACTTAAATACATTTTACACAACTTATGCCAAAGCATGTTATTCACATTGTTGTATATATATACAACAATGTGAATAACAAAATAATATATACATATATATATAAATTGTTGACGCCTTATAAACAAACAGCCTTACTACTTACCTAATTAGTAAGGCATAGAGAGATAAAAAAGTTTGGATTGAAGTATATATATTTATATATATATATATGTATATACAGACATCTATAGGAACATTCCAAACACGTATTCAAGTACGTAACGAAGACATCTACGTAATTAAACAAGTTCAAGTCTCAATGAGTTTATAGAAGAATAACGTATAAGCT